GAGCTTCAGCTGCAAAGCTGCATGGAGATGAAAATGAAGGCAAAGAAAGAACAGTTTAAACAATGCAAGGAGAACCCCTCCCTGATAATGTTCCACTGCAAAAACTGCAAAGATCCAAAATGCTCAGGAGATGACATTCAAGTTATTTTAAATATGCATCATGTCAATGTAAAAAAGGAATTTGCGTAAGTCCGCCTCTGTGTGTGTGTGTGTACCTGTTTGTATTATCATCAGGGTGTCTGTTCTGATTGAACACAGAACATAGTTGGAAGGGACCTTGGAAGTCTTCTAGTCCAGGGGTCCCTAACCCCCAGGCCACGGAACAGTACCAGTCCACTGCTTGTTGGGAATTGGGCCATGCAAGTGGTGGGTGATCATGCAAAGCTACATTTGCACATGGGCAGGAGCTAGGATGTGTGCATGAAACCATCCACCCCTTCCCCACTGCCACCACTTCTGCAGTCTGTGGGGCCAGAAAGGTTGGGGACCACTGCTCTATTCCAACCCCCTGCTCAAGCAGGAGGCCCTATACCATTTCAGATAAATGGCTGTCCAGTCTCTTCTTAAAAGTCTCCAGTGATGGAGCGCCCACAGCTTCTGAAGGAAAGCTGTTCCATTGGTTCCATTGATTGAATCAGTGCAGTGGTTGCACTAATTGCTAATCCACTGATTGCATTGCTTAGGATTCTTTTTTGAGCTAAACTCTCATTCATGCCAATAAAAATGGAAGTTGTAATCTTGCTCTGAAATTATCCCTCTAGTTTGATTTGGCTTAATGATGCAATGTACCCATACACTAAAAGGGCACCCTTTTCCTGACAGCCTGGAACAATGTTCTTGTAATGCTGTTCAGGAGTCCATCCAATAAAGAAGTAGACGGGATCCAGCCATCAAGGCAGGGAAAGGCAAGAGGGATGTCTACAGGCAAATCTCTAAGCAGAGTTACCGAATACCAATAGTTTTAACTGAAAATAGGCAAATCTCAGTTGCTGCCGTAACTGCTCATGTGATCATCGATCGACTGTAAATTTGTGAATTCTCTTTGATCATACTACCTATTTTGAGTAGGCAGAGATGCCAACCACAGAAACCAAAGTAAATTGGTAGCAGTGGATATTCCAAATACAAGTCGATACAGGCTTGTGATGTAATCCAGTGTTTTGAGTTAGGAAATGTAGTCAGTATTGAACATCGTTGCCCCTCACCCAGTTCATTTTTTTTTTCATAACTCCCTTTTATACCTACATCTGACTAGTGAACTTCTAGAACTCGCTACAAAGCTAAATACCACTAGCAAAAGGGTGAGGATTTCTGGCCTGTAGACTTGGTGACTCATCCAGCAGAGAGGGTTGAATCTACAGGAAGTGTCAATGATGCTTATCTGATAAGATGAACTTCTTCCTGCCTATATGAAAAACTAGTCACAATTTCTTTCTTTTCAAAAGTAAGTTGTTCCGTTTTTCACTTCAGGAACCTTTATATCGTAAGGGAAAATAAGACACTGCGAGCAAAAGAAGCAGATTATCAAACAAACGGGGACATTATCTGTAGAAATTGTGGCCAGGTGAGTGTCGGAATTAATTAATTTGGATGTCTTTGGGTTAGTCCTGGGTTGGACTCTCCAAATACTGTGAGCCATATCTCCCAAAGACCCTCACTTTGGGTTATGATGATGGCTGGGAATTGGGAGTTCAGGAACAACAGATTCTTGTATTGGTATATTCCTAATATGATTTTCTCACTTTTTTTTTCAGATATGGGGAACTATGATGGTATACAAAGGTCTAGATCTTCCTTGCTTAAAAATAAAAAATTTTGTGGTATATTTCAAAGATAAGAAATGCACCTCAAAAAACATATACAAAAAATGGGGAGAACTAGCCATTAACTTTCCAGCTTTCAGTTATGCAGATCATTATATTTCTAGTGAAGAAGATTAAGAAGGCTGAGAGACTCTAAAGACAGATGGGAACTTTTTCCGCCTTCAGATTTCAAAAGACTAATTTAAAGACATATTTTTCTTATGCCTCAATGACTGCAGATATTGTGCAAAAACTTTCCATTTTTTTTCATATCATTCAGGCTTCTGTATTTCTGCATAGAGACAGTTCAGATCTTAGTCACTGTGTGAAAAGAAAAAAAGGAGTTCCTGGGGCTACATCTCTAACCAGGATGTAAAATGATTCAGTGTGAGAATTTACCTTTTACTTTAATGGGATGCATAGGATACAAAAGCCATACCAATATAGAATTATTTAATTAAATTGCATAAAAGATCAGAAAAATGTTTTATTTTGTAAGTCAAGGACTCCCTGTAACTTTAGGAAAATTCTTACAGAATTATAATGTCAATGCTGCTAACATCAGATGTTCTTGCTTGACAATATATAAAGATGCAGACATTTTCTATTTAACCTGTGTATTACTTTTAGAGTTAAAATTAGATAGAATGTACTTGGGAACTAGTTAGCCATAACAATATTTCAGTAGCGTATTTTTCAAGGTTAGTTGTAATAAGAGGAGATAACGGGAGGGAAAGTTCACACTTCAAACTAATTGGAGAATGTGATTAATGACTGTTAAATGAAGGAGTGAGTTATGCTTTGTTATGTTGTGTTGGGGGAGGAGAATTCAGATTTTGGCTTCTCTATATACGTGCCGAAGCTATGTTGCAATTAAAAGATTCTTTAAGGTAAACAATGCCTCAAAGTTCTTTGAAGAACTTCTTCTTTCGGAACCATGACATATAAAATATAAATCCTATATCTTTTGGATCAAATTTATGCAAAAGACTCTTATATTCTGGACTATAGACCAGGGGTCCCCAACCCCTGGTCTATGGACCAGTACCGGGCCGCAGCATGCCAGCAACTGGGCCGCACAAGCAAGCAAAGCCCCACCCATGGGATGCAGGCAACACAGAAAACCACGCCCCTCCGTTCCACAGAAAAACCTGTCTCCATGGAACCAGTCCCTGGTGCCCAAAAGTTTTGGGACCTCTGCTATAGACTATATTACAATATATTTGTATTTTACCTAGATGTTTCATTCTTTTAATTACTTGGCAGTTTAAAGTTTAATTTATATGCTAAATGAAAAGAAAAATCATTAAGTGAGTCTTTAGTTCTCTTTGGGTTGATGGTAGTTTTTTTTTTAACTCCATCCAATTTCCTTGCTTTCCCTAGATGACTATTTTACATGACTAATATGACTACACTAAAAGTAAAATTGCAATAAGTAAAATTGTTCTCAACAATGCCTACAAAGAAACGAATTGAAAATACAAGTATTTCACATGTTTATGGATTCCGATACAAATTTATGATGCTTCCACTTTGCCATTTTTATAAAGAATTCAAAAAACATTGTTGCCTCTGGGTTTTCTTTGCTATTTATTCTCTGACGTAGCTTTTATATATTGATTTGTTTTTGTAGTGCTAACCCATTCCCCAGGCAAATACTGATGAACAGGGTTGGTGGAAAGCTTTGGATCCAAAGGCCAACAAGCTTTGGCTTCAGACCATATGGGGAAGGTGGGGGAAATATTGTCTTTTTGGCAGCTGCAGGGGGCTGTTATGTCATCCTGGAAAAAGATGCAGCTGTTGCTCTGAGATTGCAGCTGCTTCTACTATATTTCTTTCACTTTGGACTGTGAAGCACTTTTTCAGATCTGAAGCAATACACAGTCCAGCTGATGAAGCTTGTGTTACTTACAAGTTTCTTTTTGCTGCTTGTTTTTTAAAGACCAGCTAACTGGATGGGGAGGAACAGACTCAGGCTCAACCCTTCCAAGACCGAGTGGCTGTGGTTGCCGGCGTCTCGGCATAGTCAGCTGACGCCATCGCTGACTATAGGGGGCGAAACCTTGGCCCCCTCAGAGAGGGCGCGCAACTTGGGAGTCCTCCTGGATTCACGGCTGACTTTGGATGACCATCTGTCGGCCGTGACCAGG